TATTTTAGTGGAAAATATTTTTCATTAAAATATTACCCCTACTTCTACCAAATAAAAAATAATAATATTTTTTTTAAAAAAATTCATTAACTACAAAATAATATATATTTTAACAAAAAATAAATTTTTTTGATGACGACAACCCCTGCCGCAAAAAAAAAAAAAAATTAAACGACGTTATTTTATTATTTAAATTTCATTTGTGACTTAAAAAAATATATATATTTTTTTATTTTTTATTTTTTATTCCCGCCCCTTTTTTTTTCCATTCCTACTCCTCCTTTTTTTTTTTTCCATTCCCGCTTCCCCCCCCCCAAAAACAAAAACCGTTTTGGACCAAAGCTATTTTGGATGGTTTTTAGACCTTAAAATCCTCTCTTTCAAAACTTTTTTGAAATAAAATTCCTACGATGCTCTGAGACTCACATTTTGTCAAATAATGCGCTTTTCGATAAACCGAGCAAGGACAAAGTGGAAATTAATGAAAGAGAGATGAAATCTTTGAAAAATCTTTCAAAACACCTTACTTAGGGGTTTGAAGTTGAAGAAAAGAGGAGAAGAGGGGAGAAAACAAGTTGGAGAAGAAGTTCGGCAAGGATCCGGGTAGAAGAGAGTCGAGCGACCCTCGCTGAATCAGGCTTATTCATCTGCATACTTGGATTTTAGCTATGAGGCCACCACCGTTGGAAAGCTTACTTCCGGGGCTTCGTTTTGCACTCAAGAATCTCCTAAAGACAAGTCTGGGTGGGGGAGATATGGTTGGTTGAAGTTGGGCATCATCTCGGTTGGATCGAATCTGCGCGGCTTCACCAAAAAGGGCATAACTTTTTGCACAGGAGGAATTTTAATGCAAGGTTTGTGGCATTGGAAAGCTACCTTCTGGGGCTTTAATTTGGACACAAACCGGCCACTTGTTGACCTTGGAAGCATCTATCAGAAATCTATTTAGCCGACCGGCCATTTATTTTGGCCGACGACCTCCTTTTCTGGCCGGTTTGACGTTTTTGCACCTTCCAAGCATGGTGCATGCGAGTTGTGCCAGCTGGGATGCACATACCCATCCCCCCATACACATAGGTGGTTGTTTTGAGCCCTTGACCCCTTTTTTTTGCACCCTTTGCTCAAGGCTTCTTGAGGGAGCCTTGGCCCCTTATCTTGGCTTCCTCAAGAAGCTTACCAGCCGTCCTAGCTTCCGTGAGAAGCCTTGGCCCTCTTGTCCCCCTTGACCCTTTCTCTTAAGCTTGTCTTATAAGCTTAGAGCCATTTCCATTGCCTATTTAAGGGCCTCTCCTCCTCAATTTTTAAGGGTTGATGGGTTAAACAAAAAAACCAGACCTATACATATATATCTGATATATATCCCCCTCTCTCTCTATATCTCCCTCTCTCTCCTCATTTGGGTGTGTTAGAGGGCTCTAAAGTGTGAGGTTCTTGGCCCTTTACACTACACCTCCAAGCCTACTACCTCCACCATCCATTCAAACACCTTGAGGCTGATTTTCAGAGGCTAGGAGCTCATTTTCTGGACCAAAGAGCTGCTGTCACCTTTTGGCTACAAGGGTAACACACTTTTCCCTCTTTGTTCCCCATTTTTGCACACACTTTTAGCCTGTCTTTCTTTCTGTTTTGAGCTTAGTGTATAACTGAAAAAAGTATTGTTTTTAGCTCCTTTTCGAGTTTGTTTAAGAACACTTTTGTGTTTGGGGTTGTCTATCCCCTCTTAGGCCTTGTTTGGCCTCATTTTTATGCATTTTTTGTGAGCTCCGGGACCACCTCGTATTGGCCTTATCACCACTGAAATCCAGAGGGAGAGGGTCATCCCCTCTCCTTGTTGTCTTTAATACTTGTCATATTTGCCTCATGTGTGAGCACCTTGGTTAAGTTCATGTTGGCCATGTCTTAGTTGATATTTGGTGTTATTTTGCCTTCATTTACCTCTGTCCGAAGTTGGCTTAGACATGCCATGTGTGTTCCATACACTTGTTTTGTAATCCCATTTTTTGGCCTAACATGCCTCATGTTGTAACATGTCTTTCTAGCATGATTTTGTCTTGGCTTCAAGAAGTTTTTATCCGTGTTTTGGTATGCTTGAGGTCTGTTTTTGGTCGTTTGAGTCATCCATGATTTGCTTTGAGTAGCTACCATGCAATCTAGCTTGAAGGCTTTAAGTTTTGAACCCCCTAGCATGCATTACTTGGCTTGTTTAAGTGATTTGGAGTCACTTACCATGTCATTTCAGTCCATATGGCATGCTTGTTTACTTACATTTGATGCTCCTTTAGTGCCTTAAAGAATTGTTGTTTTGTTATGCTATATGTGTTAGTGGTTATGAGATATGTGGGTAGTGGTTATGAGCAAAGTGGTGTCAAATGGTATTTGGTTATGCTATATGTGTTAGTGGTTATGAGATATGTGGGTAGTGGTTATGAGCAAAGTGGTGTCAAATGGTATTTGGTTATGCTATATGTGTTAGTGGTTATGAGATATGTGGGTAGTGGTTATGAGCAAAGTGGTGTCAAATGGTATTTGGTTATGCTATATGTGTTAGTGGTTATGAGATATGTGGGTAGTGGTTATGAGCAAAGTGGTGTCAAATGGTATTTGGTTATGCTATATGTGTTAGTGGTTATGAGATATGTGGGTAGTGGTTATGAGCAAAGTGGTGTCAAATGGTATTTGGTTATGCTATATGTGTTAGTGGTTATGAGATATGTGGGTAGTGGTTATGAGCAAAGTGGTGTCAAATGGTATTTGGTTATGCTATATGTGTTAGTGGTTATGAGATATGTGGGTAGTGGTTATGAGCAAAGTGGTGTCAAATGGTATTTGGTTATGCTATATGTGTTAGTGGTTATGAGATATGTGGGTAGTGGTTATGAGCAAAGTGGTGTCAAATGGTATTTGGTTATGCTATATGTGTTAGTGGTTATGAGATATGTGGGTAGTGGTTATGAGCAAAGTGGTGTCAAATGGTATTTGGTTATGCTATATGTGTTAGTGGTTATGAGATATGTGGGTAGTGGTTATGAGCAAAGTGGTGTCAAATGGTATTTGGTTATGCTATATGTGTTAGTGGTTATGAGATATGTGGGTAGTGGTTATGAGCAAAGTGGTGTCAAATGGTATTTGGTTATGCTATATGTGTTAGTGGTTATGAGATATGTGGGTAGTGGTTATGAGCAAAGTGGTGTCAAATGGTATTTGGTTATGCTATATGTGTTAGTGGTTATGAGATATGTGGGTAGTGGTTATGAGCAAAGTGGTGTCAAATGGTATTTGGTTATGCTATATGTGTTAGTGGTTATGAGATATGTGGGTAGTGGTTATGAGCAAAGTGGTGTCAAATGGTATTTGGTTATGCTATATGTGTTAGTGGTTATGAGATATGTGGGTAGTGGTTATGAGCAAAGTGGTGTCAAATGGTATTTGGTTATTTGGTTATGAGATGTGGTTATGAGATATGTGATCAATAGTTATGAGATATGTGATATTTGTTATGATCAAAGTGGTGTTGGTTATGAGATATGTGATTATGATTATGAAGTATGTGATGTTAGTTATGACTAAAATGGTGTTGGTTATGAGATGTGGTTATGAAATATGTGATATTAGTTATGAACAAAATGGTGTTGGTTATGAGATGTAGTTATAGCTAAGTTATGATCAATTTGATTAGCTCATAACTATAAAAAGTGACCTGTTTAGCAGGTCACTTTTAATGACTTGGTTATGAAGTAATATGGTATAAGTAAATAATTGAATATAACTAAGTTATGAGTTAATATGGTGATAGTTATGACTAATATGATATAGGTTATGATATAAAATCATATAAGTTCATAACTAAATGTATGGTACACCTAAATGTACCATAGCATCACCCATGTTTTGTGTAGTCCTAATAATGTTCTAGGGATATAACCCTTTTTATGTGACTTTTGTTTAGTGGATAAGTTTAATATTATGTTGGTACCCTGTTTGATTGATTGTGTTTTTATTTTTGTTTTCGTTTTCGTTTTTCGTACTTTAAGAACAAAAATAACGAAAAGATCAAAATACTATCATCTCTTTTTATTTTTGCAAAAACATATTTTCAAAAGCTGAAAAGTTGAAACAAAAATAATGGAAAGTTCAAAATGAGAACCGGTATATATTACAAATTTTTTTTTTCACCTTTTATGTCTAGTAAGATATCATTTGCATTCATTAATTCCTCAAGCAAAATTGGCTAAAAATGATATTTTAGTCATTAACTTAAATAAAATATCTAAAATTTTTCTTTTCGTTGAGTTCAATGACTTCCATCAGTTTTACTTAATGAAAATAGACAAATAGTTTAGATGGAAAACAATTTAAAATTTTAAATTTTAAATTTATAAAATTAAAAACTTAGAATTTTTTTATTATAAATGTCAAACCCAGTTTTTTTATATAAAAAAAGAAAAAAAATTCCCCAAAATTATAATACACATCTCAAGTTCTAATTTTAGAACTTGCCAAATTACCAAAGACACCCTTTAAGTTGAGGCTTTGACCAACAATGAGGCTGTCAAGCAAAGACATTTTGTATAAATGTCAAAGACATTTGACCAACAGTGACACCCTTTAAAAAACTTAGAATTTTTTTTATTATAAATGTCAAACCCTGTTCTTAAAAATAAAAAAATAAAAATCCCCAAAATTATAATACACACCTCAAGTTCTAATCTTAGAACTTGCCAAATTACCAAAGAAACCCTTTAATTTGAGGCTTTGACGAACAATGAGGCTGTCAAGCAAGACATTTTGGTAATTCCAACATTTGACATAACTAAATGGTCTATTGATAGCAAGAGGTGGAAATTAAATTTTCAGTTATGAGGATAGAGAAATCATAGCTCTTCCGTCAACTTTCATATTTCATTTTTAGAAACAAAAATGTCAAATATGGCTTTGCTATTTCTACTGAATCCCTATTTATGTGTTGTGGTTTACAAGAAAAAAAACAGCATGCATTCAAAACCAAAAGAAAAACGAAAATTGCTGTGGAAGTTGCAGAAGCCACATCTTCTGCACTTACATAAGGAAGGGGGGCAAAGTTTGTTGATTTTAACAACAAGCTTTACCCTTCCTTCAAAAACATTTCCATTTCTCAGAGACACAAAAGAAAAATGGAAACGACTAATATTCAACCCAGTGAAAAATCTGCCAAGGAGAAGAAGATCGACGATTGGCTTCCAATCACTTCCTCTAGGAATGCGAAATGGTGGTATTCGGCTTTTCACAATGTCACTGCCATGGTCGGGGCTGGTGTCCTCAGCTTGCCTTATGCCATGTCGCAGCTTGGATGGTATGTTTGATTCCTCTCTTACCCAAATCAAATATTTTTAGATGATGTTTTTGAGATTATCTTTGTTTCTTGAAAGTTAGGATAGACACACTCATTATGATATGAATAAGTTAATACGATAATTTTCATAAAATATAGAACAAGATATGTGTCAAATATATAATTTATAAAATTCAATATAATTCTTAAACTCTAACGAAGAATGAGGGTTACAGTTTTTATTTTATGTTTGAATTTCAAATTTCTTTTTTTTTTTCAAGCTTATAATGTGTTTCAGGTTAATTTGATCTAAATTTATCTAATTTGTATGTATTTATATGGTAACAATGTCATTTCCATCTAAATTTAAACAAAAATATCCTTACTTTTTTTATAAAATTTAGACAGGAATTATACTTTTATATAGTAAGAGCATCAAGATCAAACTCAATAAAATTGAGTCAAATTATAATTAAAAATTTACTTTTATATTTTATCTAATATTTTTTTTATGTACGTATTTGATCAGGCTCTCTATTTTAAGATTTAATTTTATAAAATATTTATTTTTATTGGGTGGGTGGATGGCCAGGTGGTCGACCACTTGGTGAAAATTGTCTAATTTTTCCATTTATTGGGTGATCGATCAGGTGAATTACCGAGTAGTCAACCACTTGCTGAGATTTTCTTTAGAATAAATAATAAAATAGTATAGCGATATACTGTAACAATATTAAAATTTATTTTATTGTAACTAGCCTGATGTGAGAGTTCTTTTGGCAATCTCACCTTACAATGCAACCCAACGGTACTAGCCTCACCAACTCAAAGCTTTTTAATTATTTTAAAAAAAAGGTTACAATAACCTACTGGATCGTATGCAGATGCTCTTAACAATGTCATGCCTCCACTTTCATCACTCCACCACTACCACTACTATGTCATTATGGCCGCCATCTCATTCAACCCCCCCCAAAAAAAACAATTTTTCCAAACATCACTGCTGCAATCTCGTAACAAATAAACATAGAAATGTCTCAAAATTTCATCAAGGTTCACTTATATGTGGCCCCATAACACCAACATTCAATATATATATATATATATATATTTTTATCGGCAAAGAAAAAATTTCATTAAAAACATGAAATTTCATTAAAAACATGAAAAATGTCAGTAATGTTAAAAAACCAACATTCAATATACATCATTAATCTGAAATTTATGACAATTTCTTAGATAGTTTTCTGTGCCATAGACTTTCTGTATTAGAAAAAGCAAATGGATTAATTTGTCCAGTTTGTATATAAGTTTTGTGGCTCAAAAGTGGCTCAAATGGCCAAAACGACGTCGTTTTGGCCATTTTTATGTTGTTCTGTATTCAAAACGACGTCGTTTTGGCCATTTGAGCCACTTTTGAGCCACAAAATTTGAGCTACGTAGCATTGTCGTTTAATTATTTTAAAAAGAAGGTTACAATAGCCTACTGGACCGTATGCAGATGCTCTTAACAATGTCATGCCTCCACTTTCATCACTCCACCACCGCCACTACTATGTCATTATGGCCGCCATCTCATTCAACCCCCCCCAAAAAAAACAATTATTACAAACATCACTGCTGCAATCTCGTAACAAATAAACATAGAAATGTCTCAAAATTTCATCAAGATTTTTATCGGCAAAGAAAAAATTTCATTAAAAACATGAAATTTCATTAAAAACATGAAAAATGTCAGTAATGTTAAAAAACCAACATTCAATATACATCATTAATCTGAAATTTATGACAATTTCTTAGATAGTTTTCTGTGCCATAGACTTTCTGTATTAGAAAAAGCAAATGGATTAATTTGTCCAGTTTGTATATAATTCAACCTAACATGTGTTAATTAAACCTGTTTATGAAATGATTGAGTTATTTTATCGTACAACCCGCTTTGAACCATCAAAACCGACCGTAACCCGCCCGGTTGTCAACTCGAAATTAACAGAATATTTGGGTTTGATATATGCAGGGGTCCTGGAATCGCAGTCCTCGTGATGTCATGGATCATCACCCTTTACACCCTCTGGCAAATGGTTGAAATGCATGAAATTGTACCGGGCAAACGGTTCGACCGGTACCATGAGCTGGGTCAGCATGCTTTCGGAGAAAAATTGGGGCTTTACATAGTTGTACCTCAGCAACTCATTGTGGAAATTGGTACGTGCATTGTATACATGGTGACAGGAGGCAAATCACTGAGGAAGGTCCATGAAACCCTTTGTCCCGATTGCAAACCCATTCGGACCACCTTCTGGATCATGATTTTCGCTTCGATCCACTTCTTTCTCTGTCTTCTCCCCAACTTCAACTCCATCTCCGGCGTCTCCCTCGTCGCTGCCGTCATGTCCTTAACGTAAGTATTCAGGAAAAATGTTATGCATAAACAGATTTCTTTTTCTTTTTTTTTTTTAAATTCCAATTCGGGAATAAGGCCTATTTCGATCATGTTATTTGTTCATTTTGTAGGCTCTATGCAAATTATTCAACAAAATAAAATAAAAAAATTAAATTAAATTAATTTGAATGATTTCAACATATTAATCTTCATCAAAGTGGACCTTGTGAATGGTCCAATCTTCTTATGATTAGAGAATTTTGTAATAAATTCGTTTATTTATTTGTAATAAACTTCCTACCATCAAATGCTCTGATTATTTACAATGATAATAATTATTATTACATTTTTTGAAACAAAAGGCCAACAAAAAGGTTTCTATATGGTCAAAAGAATTAAGTAATTTCAAAGAGAAAAATAATTTTTTAAAAAACATTTTTAAAGTTAAATATAAATCATACATTAATTTTTAAATGAAATTGTGAACATAATGAAAAAAAAAAAAATCAACATAAATATTTTTTATAGTTGTTCTTACTTTATCCTTTTCTTTGTGATTGTCTGTGGACATAGGTTAATGCCAAATCACAAAATTTTTGATATTATTTGATTGTTTCTCTCTAAATTTGCATTTGTGTGATTCTTCTACATCATATTAAAATCCTCAATTATATGTATGTTTGCTTAGTTGAGATAAAACATAAAAATTCAGAAAAACGACCATAAAAAACAAAACAATTTAAGATTTGACCTTAGTAATAAATCAAATCTGAAAATTTTAATTTTATTAATTTAAATCTTAAATTTTTTTATTTAGTCCCAATCTCAGTCATCTGTTCATTTCCATTTAAGAAACTAACGATTTTTTTTCCCCAACAAGCGTGGTTTTCTTGTATATTGTTTAAAATTAATACATGTCATTTTTTTTACAACACCAAATTGCAATTACTACTTATCAATTATTGTCAAAATAGTTTTTTTTTAATAATTATTTTATTAATTTTTTACAGAAGGAAACAAAAAGTAAAATTTGTGTTTGGTGGAGTTTTGAAAACTTAATTTTACATTTTGGTTTGAGTGAGTTGGTTGGTTATAATTTTCAAACATTAATTCAACATCCACTTTTGAAAATATTTCTACTCGGTCATCGTCCTGGATGTATTCCCAGATGTCTGATTGATCGGAATACTGCAATTTATTTATTTATTAATTTTTTTTTGTGCAATTGGCACCTGTTATTTTTTATATATTAAGGCCCAGTTTGGCAACCAAAAAATAATCCATCTTGTTATCTTGTTTTCATCGCATCACCTCTCTACTTTTCTGCACATCTTTTCGTAAAAAGACACTTATTTAGGTCATCCCAAACAACCCCTAAATAAAAAATATTTTCTGAATTTTTAAAAATATTTTATGAGCTTTGAAAAGAATTTTAGGTTGTGTGTTTGGTTATAAGTTGTAAGTTTTTGAATCAAATATCATATGTCACATCACTCATTTCATACTCAATTCAAAACTATTTTTCAAACTCATAATCAAACAAATTTTTCACACTCAAATCATAATTCCAAAACTCACAAACTCAAAATACAACTCTATTCTCAAATCATAATTCTAAAGCTCTACCAAATGTTACCTTAAACTCAACCAAAGAATTTGAGTATGTAGATATACATATTTGTTAAATTGTAAGCCTCTAAGCATCGGATTAATTTAAACTTCTATTTATGGACAAATTACCTACAAGTTCTTTTTGAAAAGTGTGTATTCTATTTAATTCCTAAACTTTTTAGATAAACCTCAAAGTCCTATACCCATTTATCCTCTCATCTTTTTTACACCTTGCTTCTTTTCTATATCTCTTTCTCTGGTATCGGTGATGACCACGACCACGTCCACGTCTTTTTTTTTTTTTTCTTTCTTTCTCTTTCTAATCTACAGTCACTGGCGACCGGCGACCACCATTAATTGGGATTCATGAGCAACCATCGAGTACCAATTCCTTACTTTGTCCTCACCAACGGCGAAAGAAATGAGTTTCCGACGAAGAAGATGAGTAGTAGATCTATGTTAGATTCGTCTAGATCTAAACAAAAAAATAGTTATTGGAGTACAAATATCTCTATATATCTGTCTCTTTACTTTGATCTCTTAGTTTTAATACATTTTTTGTACTATACACTTCTGTTTTCCTATTATAATGGAGAAATTTTTCAAGCTCTGAATAAGTTGTTTTCAAATTTTAATTAAAGACGGTGAAAATTGTAAAATTTTACAGTTTTAGTTTTTTTGGTGCTGAATTGAGTCATTCTTTAGAACTGTAAAATTTTGTAGTTTCATAACATATTTTTCAGTTTGATTAATATGGATAAATACTTAATATAATTATACTTTGAAACTGTAACATTTTACAGTTTCAAAGTTTACTTTTTGGTTTGATCAATATTAGAAATTATTTGCTTAAACCCTAATAAAATTGAAAATAACATATGTTTTTTTCATTGTTGTTGTTTGTTGTTCTTAGGTTATTTTTCTTCTTTTAATTTATTAATATTTAACACATTTTGCTATGTTTTTTCACTTTAATTTCTTAGTTTATTCTTGTTTTTTCGACAATATTTTGGACAATCCGGTGAGTCTCCGGCGATATTCTTGACGTCTAGCAAATCTTCAAGACATTCTGATGACTTCTAGTGACGTTCAGAACTTTCCAGCGATACTTTGGAAAATTTCCGATGATATTCTAGTGACTTCCCAGTGATGTTGTGTAACTTTGAGTTTAAATCTAGTTTGAAAAGTATACATCAAAGGGTTATTTGTTTCGTTCAATACAAAAGAGAGTGTTGTTCTTTGGTGGATTCTGTAGAATTTGTGTAACGCCCTCAAAATTTAACCCATTATATATCATTGACATGCATTGTTTAAAGAAAACAATTTATTAATTCATTCATCAGAGTATTACCAAACATAGTATTACATGTAATATCGGATAAAATGCCCTACAGGCTTACAAGGTTAAGGGGTTCAAAGGCTCACAAGGTGCAAAACAAACACACATCCACGTGGGGGATCGATTCTGTGCATTCCAGCTGGTGTCGTCGGCTAGCAAAAATTGCCGGTCAGCAAAATAAAGTGCCGGTCGGCACAATAAATTGCCGGCCGGATAAATATAGTGCCGGTGGATGGCCGGTAAGGTCAAAAAACTGCCGATTGGTGTCAAAATTGAAGCCCCGGAAGTTAGCTTTCCAATGGCGCAAACCTTGCATCAAAATTCCTCCTGGGCAAAAGGTTATGCCCTTTTCCGTGAAGCCGCGCAGATTCGATCCAACCGGGATGATGCCCGACTTCAACTGATCATATCTCCCCCACCTGGACTTGGCTCTAGGAGATTCTTGAGTGAAAAGTGAAGCCCCGGAAGTAAGCTTTCCAACGGTGGTGGCCCCATAACTAAACTCCAAGTGTACAGATAGATAAGCCCGATTCAGCAAGGGCTGCTCGACTCGCTTCTACCCGGATTCATGCCGAACTTCTCCCAAACTAGTTTTCTCCTCTCCTTTCCTCTTTTCTTCAACTCCAAAACCCTAAACAAAGTTTTTTGAAAGATTTGCCTCTCTTCTAGCCGAAGAAACTGATTCTTTGCCCTGCACATCTCTCAACACCGAGCAAACCATCAGTAATGCCCAAGTCTTAAGGGCGGTCAAAAATGGGGTGTCTATAGTTAACTTCAGGGCCTCTAGGGTTTGGAGATCCACTGTCCGTGTTGTTAAAACTTATGTTGGTTCAAATGATTGGAATCTATCCACAAAAAAATCAAAATAGTTTTATATATATATAATGTATAAATTGTTGTTTTTTGCATAGTGTTCATGTGAGGAATGAAACTTTAATGGGTTTTTAATATTTGAGCATTCCACTTTCATAAAAATGAAAGAAGGGTTCTATAATTGTAAGCACATTGTGTGAAGAGGACTGGAGTTCTGCATTTTTATGAACACGAGCTTCAAATTTTATGATCCAAACACATCCTCAGGGAAAGAAGTTGATACGGATGCATGAGGTGTTGTGTTTGAATTCATTGTGACAATCCAATATCTATTTGCCTGCAGGTCAGGTCAGCTCTGAAGTAGGAGATAAAAAGTAGAGAAAATCAACGGAGAAAGATAGGTGTTATGTTTATGTGAGAATGGTAGATCATGCTTGAGATATGTTCGTTTTAGGTTTCCCCTAGCAGGATCCTTGCTATGATCTGCCTTTATAGCTTTGTATTATGCTACCTTTGTCTCATAGAAAAAGTTATGTATGTCTTGTTCAATTTCCTTCCCTTCTTTTTTTTTCCTTTTCCTTTTCTTTTTTCTTTTCAATAGAAATATATATCCAGAAATACCTTCCAGTGCAATATACCTGCAATTCTTTATGTGATGATGTTTTTCCTTGGTATCGGTTGTGGTCTTCCTTTTTGGTGCTGTTGTTTCAAACGTTGGCTGAAGATAAAAAAGAATGTCTTCAATTAGTCTTTTCTAAAGGAACCTATGTCCGGACACAATAGTCAAATGGGAAAAGACCGGGATCGCTATAATTTTGAATAACAGGAGTTCCCTAGGGGTGGTCTACATTGCGGTGTGGATTTGCCTGGTAAAATATACTCAATTTTCCACAACTGAATACAAGTAAATGTGTTAGAAGGTTTTCCACAAAAAATTCGACTGCTTGGTATTGTATTGATTTTAATCTGTTTTGATGTTTGCAATGTGTATGGCATATTTGGCAGGTTTCGGATTTGCTTAAGTTGAAAGTCTTAACTTCATGTATGAAGTTAATGTATTATGAGATTAATTTATACTCATGTCAATTATTTGAATTATTTATTTCATATGATAAGATGTGAAGAACATGCAAAAAATATGTTGCTCGGGGAAACCTAAATGGAACATTTCAAATCTATTGCAATAGTTCCCATTGTTGTGCATTGACCTTGTAACAGTTGCCATTACCTTGGCAATAGTGTCACCCAAAGCCCTCTTAGCTCTTTGCAATTCAGAAAAAACTAACTCAACCCACAGTTCCATAGGAAAATCTCAGAATCAAATATAGAAACAACAATATTAACCATCACTCTGTTGTCAACTAAAAATAACATCTTCAACCACCTTTGTGGTAACCTTAAAAAATAACTGTAGAGTGGTAACATCACAATAGTCACAGGAGCATATTTTAATTTCCCCTGCTTCCTTGATTATAATTTTTACTTGCATATAATTAAAAAATATACTCTTCTCATAATTAACTACCCAAAATAGGACGGCTCATTTAGTAAGGTTACATCTATCAAATCACATGTCATGTATCAATCTCATCTGTTTATCAAATATCTTGTGTATCAATCTCATCTGTTTATTGAACATCTTGAGTATTTTCTATCTCTAATGAATTAACTGCATATCGGCAACATTTCTGCAAGACAGCATCATGAACCTGCAAAATATCCACCACTCATCAACCAAGGAGAAGATTGGAAAATTTAAAATATTATGGCCAGAACAAATAAAATAAATAAATAAAAGTACCTGCAAAATAAAAAATAAAATAAAAACAAAAATGCAGGTTCCAGGATCAGAAAGCTATAAATGCAAGATATCGTGAAATAGACAACACATTCAATGGCTGTTATGTGTCCAATCCCATATACTTCACAGAATTTCAATGGCCCTTTTGTGTCCCATGAACTCTTGGAAACCTGGTGAACCAGAGTTAGCATCTATGCATGATAGATTAGATGTTCCAAACTAAATGGGACCATTAAGTTACCACACTTAACCAGATTGTGAAATGGACATGCCTGCCCAACAAATTCTTGAAGAACAAGTCCCCAACTGGGATGCTAGTGAATCTATGGATATATCTCTTTCATAAAATAAAAAATATATATTTTAACATAAAAGGACTTCAGAGGAATGAGTTCATCATAATGTGTTCTAAATGCCTGTGAATGACCAAACCAGCCAGTTAAGATTCCTAGGAGCTGATGAACCATGAAGTTAATGAGAAATTGTTCAACAAGCTAGAAAGATAAATCCAATGAAGTGATTGGGAATCTTCAGAAGATTAGTTAGTATAACATTGTGATTGGGAATCTTCAGAAGATTAGTCAATGTAACATTGTTTTTCTTAAACAATCTGGGTTTATAACACGTACATAGATGATGTTGCGATCATTAATAAATTCTTTATTCGTAGTTTAGTGGTGGTTTTGTTTAATGATTTTGAAAATATATATATTTGAGGAGAGAAACTCACGTCGATGGCAGGAAATGATTATGACTTCATAAAGCATATAACTTTAGCTGTGCACTTTGAAGCATCTCAGATGTGGGAACAATTGAAGCAGTTCTTCACGACTTTGTCTCTGTGAGGGAAATATATACACATCAAAAAAAGGAAAGAAAAAAAAGAAAGAAACAACAGGAGAATCTACTAGTGTGTTACACGAAAAAAATAAATAATAAAAAATAATAAATAAATAAGGGCAAAATACAAAGCCCACAAAGCCGTAGTTAAACTCTTGCTCCAATGTCAAAAGTGGCAAACCCCAAGCAAATCAAATTGACAACCAAAATAGGAAAAGCTATAAAAAACAAAAAATCTAATGGAATTTCTATGGTGACTTAGAAGAATTTGAGTGGTGTAAAAGTAGTTAGGTTGACTGATTTGTTCAACAAAATATTACAAACTAAGAAGATGGTTGATGATTGAAAGAAAAATGCTCTTGGTACATGTATATAAGAAAAAATGTGATATGATATACCTTGATGCCAATGCATCCATTCACATCGAGGGTTGTAAGTGTGTTTGAGCAGAACCTTGACAGGGCCTCCAAGCACTTATCAGTAACACTAATAATACCAAACAAGCTGCAGTTTTTCCATCCATGAAATCAGTAACATATGTTATATCAAGAGGAAACTTTTTAATAGCAAAAGATGACTGCACGACCATACGATTTCACCATAACAGTATGGAATGGCCAATGCTCATCAATCTTGCTAGTACTCTGTATTTGATACTAGATGTGCATGTTGCACTAAAATTGTTTCAGCAAGGTTGCAATAAAATTCAATCAATAAAAAATTTGAACAATATGACAATGACCATCGTGTCATAGCTCAACTCAACTCAACTCGACAAGGCTTTATCCCAAATCCCAATTACTTTAGTGTAAGCTACATGGATCCATTTCCTTGAATTGATTATGATAAATACAGCTGCATAAATTACAGATTTCATTTTAAGTTCATTCCAAATTATAGTTCAGCTTTCATATTTTCTGCATGCCATGTTCCAATAACTTGGGTATGGATGTCAGAGGTGTGTATGTGCCTAAAATCGGATTTATCTATTTCCAAATTTAAGAAATGAGGGACACAGCTAAATGTGATATTATTTAATGCTCTTTTGTTTTTGTTTCTAATGCTAAAATGGTGTTTTTATGTAACATAGAGCATCAACCACCGATACTATACCCAATTTGAAGCAACAATATCCAATTCACATAATAAGGGAGTTTTGACTTCATGGCATAATAGCATGGTATGCTCTTAAAAGCTTCTAAAGGCACAAACCAGACATAAAATGCATCAATTTTTCACATTCAATAATATTCGTCTCATCAAGATTTAACCCCAAGGGGCCGAGTGGTAAAGACATTAGAATAAGATCCAAGGTCTCAAGTTTGAGTCTCCTAAGGGGCCACTAGAGGTTTGTGGTTGTTAACTTCAGGCCATGTGCTTTCAACGTTCAATGCATACAAAATACGATTTTAAAATGGAATCCAAAAGGCTCTGACTAAAAATTAAAATAAAACATTTCTACAACTTACACTAAAATATATAATTGACAAACGAGACTTAAGTGCCCTTAGAGTATGGTTAGGTGGTGTTTTAAGGTTGTGTGACTGGTGGAAAATGTAAGATTTATGATTCTGCATTGGATAATTTAAGAGTATGAGAGGATATGATATATGATAATTAGTCTTGGAACATGAACATGTGGTGAAATGGTTATAGAGCACAATTACTCTCAGAACACACCATTTACTCAATACACACCATACACAAATTAAATATGCTGATTTTATTTCAATACAAACCACCAATTTTCATATAATACCATATTACCCTCATCTTCTCTAACAAACCCTAACCCTAAGCCTTGGCTACCAGTAGCCGGTAGCCACTCTTTTCCCCTCATCATTTCAATACTCATATCCTCCCATAGTGCTCCATACCAGCCCCTCTGATAACCACCACTTACCTTCACTACCTCACTACCATCATAACTCCTATCACCGCTGCCCCACCACCATCTCAGTCTCCTACTGCCGCTACGTACAACTACCGCAGCCTCTACCTATTACTATTTCGTTGTTGCAGTGCCACAAATATTTATCCCTCTTTTCAAACACAAATTTCTCTATGGACTGCGTGTGATCAATCACTGACCGGGGGTGAGTTGCGATGGTGGTGGGTTATTAGGGTTTGGAAGCACGATAATGGTAGGTCGACGAGAATGATAGTAGTTGTAGGGTGGTGAAGGTAGGGATGAAGTTGGAAAGATAGCAACGGTAGTGACTGGACTGAAGAAGAGAGAACAGGTGACTAGTGTTGATGGTGCCGATGGATGGTGTTGATGGTGGCAGTGTTTGGTGTGGTATTAAGGGAATTTAGGGTTTTGTCCTAAAAGGTAATTTCATTTAGGGATATAATGATAATAAAAAATATATATATAAGATAATGATGTGAACTAAGAGTAACTGTGGTGTGTAAATAGAATTATCTCACTTCAAATCTCTCCTCTCTTTATCTTTCTATTCTCTCTCTTTCACATCATTATGAATCAAAATGGAGGTGCTATATTAGTGGGATATACCATAGTTGTTACATTTATGTTTGATGTTTAAAAAAAAAATAAGACCATTTCCATTTATGATTAGTAGAAAGTACTATCTAAGTATCATATCAAACTATTCCAATATGCAAAATTTTCTCGTACCCAATGTATTTGAAATTGGAGACATTACTTATCAATAAAAAAAATATTTTCAAATTAATGATATTCTTTACAAACATTAATATGTAAAATTATAATTTTTTCATCATTTTGTAATTAAGTCTTGAAGACAACCTCACGGATAATTTTCCCTTAGAATTTTGGGTAAAGTACAAGGGAAAATCTATGGTACATCATGCATTTTGAGGATATGTATCATATACACTTTATAATTAAATATGAAAATAACATAATTTCATATTTGTTAACTAAAAAAAATATAACCAAATATCACACGAGCTATAATAAAAAATCTCATGAGTCATAATTAAAATATTATCATAACTAAAAAAGAAAATTAGTCACAATTAAAGAAGAAAATGACATAACAAGGGGTGCCTATGATACACCACTTCCAAGGGTGTATATAATAAAATTTTCCAAAATATAAATGCACTTAAAATTTGTTTAAAATACCGATTATCTGTGTAATATGAAAAACTACATCTCATCTCTTTAAGTGTTTAATCGCATAACAAATAATCATTTTTATTAATAAATTATCAAATCAATTAATAATTTTTAATGATGTCATAAATATATTTCAATTAATAATTATGATAATTTTATTATTGTATAAAAAAATAAAGAAAAATTATTTTTATCGATTAATTCTATTGAATAAAAAAAATATTATTCTCGTAAATAAGATTATTATACTTAATTTCATTAAAAATAATCATACTACAACCAAAATGACCTAATTTTATTACAGTTTTTACACAGGGAGCCAAATGTTCGTGAACAAGTGGAAACTTATCATGTTTTTAAACAATGAGAGAAGCAGACTGGCCATGGGGGTGAGGAAAAGTGTTGTTATGTTGGCTTTACTGCCATGGCCACAATGTGTTTGATGTTTTGCCTATTAGAGACCGACCACAATGATCAAACACTGCTCTGCTCTGCTCTGAGTTGCTTCTTGGTTGTCAAAATAAAACACACACACACACAAATAAACGGCTGATTTACATTCCAGAGATTAATTGGACTTTAATAATGATATACTATGTTTGGCTGTTAAAGTCTTCTGGGCTTAATTGGGTGAGAAATGACAAAAAAAGAAGAAAAGAAATAGAAAAAAGGGAAAATGTTGAACTCTTTATAATCTCCCAACACACACACACACACACATATGGATAAGACTGCAAACGAACCAAGTTGAGCCGAGTTTTGTTGAGTTTAAGTTTGGCTCAATAAGAAACTAGGCTCGAGGTTGGCTCAGCTTTTTAATATTAATAAAACTAGAGCTCGATATGGCTCGGCTCAATAATTTTTTAAAAAATATTATTTATATTATTTAAATAAAAATATTATTTATATTATTTAATAATGTATTTATATTATTATTTATTTAATATATAAATGATATATTTTTATATTATTTAAATAAAGATAAATGAGCCGACTCTATAGGAGTTCGAGCTCAACTCGTTTACTAAACAAACAAACGAGGCGAGCCGAACCTTTAATGAGCCGAGGCGAGCTTGTTCATGAACAGTTCGGTTCATTTGCAGCCCTACATATGGTGGCCAATTTTGGGTCTCTATGTAATTTTGCAAAAAGCCAATAAACTGAGGCTTGGGTGGTAGGTAGTCAAAGAAAGATGAAGTGATTTATGACATTTTATCACATACTTATATTTCATATTGCTGCTTCTAATTGCAATTCTTTTGATTGCGCAAGTTAATTTTCAACACTACCAGTCTATCCACCAAAACCTATGTGGTTCAAGGGGATGCATTCAGATTTAAGTATCTTGGTTGTTAAGATCAAGAACTCAAACCCCCCATGATTGGGACTGACAGTAAGACACTGAAACTTGCATGATTGATGGTCTCTCTTCAAAGTTCTGTTTCACAATCAAACACAATCGTTGGATTCGCTTAATAGAGACGTAAGTGTCAAGTACATGTGACTCTCATAATATTAATGAACTATCTCCTGGAAATTTAGGAAACAAAATTACTGCTTTAGTCATTTTATGAAATTATATTGTACTTAATTTAGATAACAGAGGCTGTCATTTATGCTGTGTTTGGTTGGGAAATTTGGGGAGGGATTTGGAAAGGAAAATGGAAAAGGTAGGTGAAATGTGAAATGTGAATAAAACATACCTATATTTCACCTAGTTTCACACACCTTTTCCCTTTCCCTTTCCCTTTCCCTTTCCAAATCCCTCTCCAAATCCCTTAACCAAACACACCGTTAAGGTTACTATAAATCATAAAGCATAATAACGCAGTGGATAAAATATCAGAATCATACCTTTTAGCGAAGAACCTCGTGGGTAAATCACGTGCTTCCTGAATCTGATCAGTCAACCCAGTAATGAAGTGATATTACAATTGTGAATATCACCCACACAAATCACAGTGCAAAATGGCTTGATCGTTGTTTAATGGGAGAGAGTCAGAGAGAGTCTAGAAAAAAAGGTTATGGGTAAAAACTCATATATCGTATATCTGATATACGTATCTGATTTTAATATATTATATATAAAATATATAATCAAATATAACAACCAATATCTATCTATCTATCTATCCATATCTATTGATATGATAGATATAGATATCCTGAATGGTTATCCAAATAAGTTTTGAATTCAAATTCAAACTTACATGGATAAGGTTCAAAATGTTCAGGTTGAAAAGGTTCAAAGGGTCATGCCACATGGGCGCCCAATTTCTAACATCTCCCACTCGCACATGAGTTGGCATGACACTGCCACATCTCTATCTCAATCTCCTCAAAAAAGAACAATCTCATACTAGCTAATGCACCGTACGACTGCTGAGAACACCTGCACGTGGGAGCTCTATACTAGAAACTCAAAA